GATAATATAATAAATAAATCCATTTGGGTACTATATATAAACAGCTGATAGATTGTAGTTTGCTTTAAGAATGAGTTGAGAGAGTTAAGGACATTCCCTCAATGTTGTGGACCCAATCCTTTCCTCAAAATTCCTTGCAGCTGGTAAAAGCCTTGTACAACACACAGACCAAGTGAGGAACTCAGGATCAATCCAACAAATTAATTAAATCTCTGCCTTCAAAGTGCACTGTGAGAAAAACATTGAATATGGAAAAAGTTGATTTCCTTCACCTATACATTTTCTAAGCAGCAAAGAAAAATATATACATCCAACTTATTTCTTTGTGAGTTTATTTTCAGTGGTGTAAAATCTAAACACTTCTATCATGCAGTAGCTTTGCATGAGCCAAGGTAGCATTTTGCTCCTTTTGATGTGCATTACACACCAAAATACATTATGTAATTAGCACATTTTGCTCTTCCATTATATATAATCTTATGAAAGCAGCAGTTTTGCTAATCATTACAGCTAGAAATTAGGGCAAGTCATTTGAACTGAACTCTATAAAATAATGCTTTTTTAGCTAACTCACAAATATTTGCTCCTCGGAACTCATAAATGCTCTGAAAGTGGGAACTTTTAAATTTTTTAAATCTATTTTCTCTGTGGATAGATGCTAGAATCATCACAAGGCAGTGATCCCTGTAAGCTGTCATCTGATGCCACCTTCGCTATTTATCTTAATAGAGGCTATCACACCTTGGTAATGAACACCTCCATCTCAGTCTTCCATTGTACTACTGATATATTTATAAGGGATTCACTGTGCATATCTCTTGAGGTTATAATTTATACTAAAGTAGTATTGCAACTTAGCAAAGACTCAACTAAAAATTAGATAAAATGAAAATGATTTTAAAATTATTTTTATGATCATTTATTAATGACAGAAAGTGAGGGGTCTCATTGTGATATTTCAGTACATCCATATAATGTATTTTGACCACATTCACTCCCTATAATAATTTTTCTTTTTTGGTGGTACTAAGGTTTGAACTCAGGACCTTACACTTGTTAGGCTGGTGCTGTACCACGCAAGTCACTCCACCAGCCGCAATATAATAATCTTTCCTAGTCCCCCTTCCTTCACCCTCCCTTTTTTGTTAAACTTTATTACAATTTTTAGATGGATTTTACTGCATCCTTTTAACATTTGCAAACCATGTACTTCCATCATATTCCCACCTTTCCCCATGTGGCCTATTTTGCTTAACATGGATGAGCTCCAGTTCAATCCATTCTCCTGCAAATGACAGAATTTCTAAAATGAAAAGGATCTGAGCAAACATTTACAATATTAACTGATAAAACTCTGCCTCTCCCATTTAGTCCCTTGTGTTAGATATTTGTGAAAATCTACAATGGAAGCTTTCAGAATATTTGCTTTAGGGAAGTGGTCATGCTGTACAAAAGAATTTATAGGAAACAGTCTTATGAAGAGGTAAGTGTTTCAGAAGGGGAGTAGCTGTCACTGATGCATGTAGACAAGGACAACATACAATTGTTGAGATCAAAAACATGATTCAGTGCCCAGCAACATATTATATCTGCATAGCATTTTAGTTTATAGCATCCATCAGTGCTCGCTTTCTTTTAAGAATATGAAGTGTTGGGAGATGCATATAGCAAGTTTAGTTGTCATGATCTCAGTCCTTTGGAAAAAGCCCAAAGTTTATTGAAAATCAATTTTATTTTCTCACACTGTTAGCAATTTTTCCTTGTTTATGGCCTGATTTTTACTCACAATGCTTTATTTCAACATTCCTGTCAATAGGACAAGAACATTCTTTGCCTAAGGCATAATTCAGACAACTTTGGGGGGTAAATGGGGACAATTTGAACCTGCTGAAAGACTTCATGCTTCATAAACATACACTAACTCTCAAATAGAGGATGATCATCAATGTCATTGAAATTAGAATATTTTCCTACATTGTTGTATCCTTACTTATTTCATGGTTGGTGTGCCCCCTAGGGAATAATCAAGATGAAAGATCTTTCCCAGCTGCTGTGTCAGTAAGAGTTTGGATGATCAATGCCTAGAGTAGATTGACCTTGGCTAAATCATAAAATGACCCTGACAAGCAGTGAGACTGCTTGACAGCATTTTTCACATTAAGGTGTTTTTCTACATAATAATTATATAGGATAACAATAACAACATCGATGCTTCCCCAAAGACTACATATAACTGGGTACCTTCTTTGAAGTGATAATCTATGCTCACCTTCTTTGAAGTGATAATCTATGTTCACCTTCTTTGAAGTGATAATCTATGCTCACCCTCTACTCTAGCTAGACTGTTTCCGGTTTAAGTTTATCCCAAACCCTCCTTCATAAAAGGGACTTCTATAGAAGGCATTATTCATGCCAAAATTTCTACTTTCCGCTTCCTTTCATGTGTATACGTGCTTAAAGTCAGGCGATGACAATATGACTTCCTGTGACCAACAAAATATGAGACGTGACCTATGTGACTTATGGGTGAAAGCACTTACGTTTGATATGCAATTCTCCATACTGTCTTTCTCTGCTGTGGTGTTCATGGAGATGTCCCAGAAGTGAAGCAGGCTAGAATGAGGAGCCACCAGTCACTTCCCATACAGAAGTATGAACAAGAATTTAATTTTGTTGTATTAAGCCATTAACGTTTCGGTAGCATTTGTTATAGCAGCGTAATATAGACTGTCCTTACTGATACAATCTCTCACCAGCTCTATTCACACCATGTATGCAGCAGCCCACAGCAGCATAGGTGGCTGTTATACCAGTAAGTCATGTTTATGCAAGAGTTGACTCCCAGTCACTGTTAAGAACAAAGTCTCAAACAAATATCTGGAACAGTAGGAAGGTAGCTGGGATAAATTATACTCTGCGCCCACACCATTGCCAGGTCCCTGGATTAGCATGGAGGGATTTCCAATACAGAAAGCCATCTGGATTTAGCACCAAGGAGCTGTCAGTTTTATGGAAGGAGGGAGTTTAATTTAGAACACTACAAAAGCTAGTGGAGAATTCCGTGGAAATGAATAGCAAGTTATCGGAAATGCAGACATGGGACTTGGAAACAGGTTGAGACTGTGGATACAGATTCAAAAGTAATCTCCACACACTTGAAAGTTGAACATAAAACATGAATAAAATTTAGGAGGCAAATGATAGAGAGGGAAAAATTCCAAGAAACAAGTCTTAGAAAACACCTATAGTGGGTGGACAGAGAGAGGAGGAAACATAAGGAAGGAAGAGATGGGAACTATGATGACAATACCCATTCATTTTGAGAGCTAAGAATATAGTATCTTCATTAATAAATTCATTTACATTTAAATTTCAAGATTTTTAATGAGAATAAAAAATGTACTACTCCCTAACAATCCATTTACTAGTTCCGATATTGAAATAAATTACCCATCCAACAGGCAGATGGACATTATCTATAATAAAAAGCAAAGTGATTTTTTAATTCAATATCTCAGAACCAATTTATCAAGACAAAGTAGAAACTAAAGAACTTTTAGATCAGTATGATATGCTCTGCCTTATAGCCCCTATTCATTTATCCAACAAACGTATCCTACACGTTCAGCATGTCTGGCAAGTTGTGGGGGTAGACTCGTTGTTCTCGGGCTGGCTCTCTCATTTCTGTGCCCATTTCACACACTGCTCCCCTTGTGGGCACATCAGGCTTTGTGCCAGCCTTGCACCTGCAAGGATGACATCAGTTAATTAACTAACATTTTCTGAGCCCTGGTAAATGTGCCAGGCACTACACTGGGCGCTTTTTGTGAATATTCTCATTTAATCTGCAAGACAACCCTATGAGGTGGGTATTAGTATCATCCTGATTTTACAGGTTGGGAGACTTTACTGTTAAGAAGCTTCCTAAGGTCACACAGCTCGCAAGTGGTGGGGTCCACACTCAAAATAGGCGGGCTAATGCAAAAGCCAGTGCTCTGAGCCTTGCTACTGAAAGTGTGGTCCTCAGAGGAGCAACACTGGCATTCCCCAGGAGTTTGCTAAAAATGTAGAGCAGACCATCAGGCCAAAACCCAGGTCCACTCAAATAAGAATTTGGTTTTAACAAGATCCCCAGGGGATCACGCTGCACGTGAAAGTTTGGAAAGCACCACCTGCTAAATCACTCCACTATGAAAGACTCCCCTTTAATGAACATAAGGGGAGAGGATGGATGCAATCTTTCCCCAGAGTAGCAATGGGGGGAGGGAGGAGGTAAACATGGTGCTCTCCAAAGAAAGGTTAAAAAGTTATTCAGAAAACAAGTTCTTGTGGTTTTAAATACTGGAGATTCTTGTGATCTGCAAGGGTCGGACCACATCCAACAGCAGCAGATACTGAGCTGGGTCTTGAAGCCAGAACATTTTCTCAATTCATTAAAAATATGTGCTGTTCCAAATGGACACGTGCCCACATCAATAATCTTCTGGAGTTGATTTCTCCAGCTTGGAATCCAAGTATCAACAGCATCAACAAGCGGATTTGAACTCTCAATAAAACATACCGTTATTAAATCGTTATTAAATCTAAGCTGCTACTCAGAAGTGCTTTAATTAGTAACGCTCATGATAAAAACCAGTTTGCCCCTCATTATCCGTCAGAAGGTGTAAAAACTGGGGCACTTCTGTAGATGGTCAGGTACTTCATTCAGGGTGTGCCGTCGCCTTGGTAAGTCCCTTCTGCAAGCCGCCCCTGCTTCTTCCCTCTCAGTGAGGCCCAATCAGCCCAGTTCATGTCACTGGCTGGCACTTTCTTCACTGTCACCAGTTCAGCCTGCTCCCGTGGGTCCGAACTGGCATCCCCCTGAGAGTCACTTCGGACCCGCTGGGGTCTCCACCTGCACCCCCGGGAAGGGGCGGCGCTGGCCGGGCTCTCAGGAGAGGACTGGCGGAGGCACGGTGGTGGCAGACGGCGAGTCACGTGCGACTGCGGGGGCGGAGCGCTGCTGGCCCAGTGGGTGGAGAAAACAAAGCCCCCAGCTGTCAGCACAGGAAGGAGGCAACCGCGCCGGAGCAGGTGAGTCAAGTGCATTTAAAGCGGTACCGCCCCAGCGCACCCCAACACCCTTTGCCCTGGCTCAGCCCCTCCCTGGCCCCGCGTTGACCGCGCCTCCTCTCGCCACCAGGGTCTGCAGACTATGGGTCGCGGAGCCAGCAGAACTGGGGATCCCTGAGCCCAGCAAGAAGTTATGCAGGCATCGGCACCACAGACCCCACTCCACACATACACTGGGTGTGCATCCCGCCGCGCTCCTAGGCGCCGGGTCTCTGTTGGTGTCCGGGCGCCGCGCACCCCGAGAAAGGGGAGGGAGTCGGGGCTGCCACGCTGGCAGAAGCAAAGTGGACTGGCTGAGGGGTGAAGGCTGGGACGGTCTAGAGCAGGGGAGTTGGAATCGGTGAAGGAGGGGTCTTGGAGATGCGCGCCCTCGGTGCCCCCGGCCCCCGAAGCTGGAGAGTTGAGCCCCGGGGCTGAGAGCGACGCTGGCAGAAGCTGCGCACTTTGGGGAACACCAGGAAGTGCAGCACGCTGGCGCCGGGCGGCTGGAAAGCATCCCCTGAACCCCGCCTTTACAGCCGTCCGGTATGCTCCCCTCCGGCTGACCCGAGTCGCGGATGCAGCCTCTTGGTACTGGCGTCCGGGACTCAGGAGCCCAGTGGGTGGGAAAGGGAGCGGGTTAATATTCTGCGCCCAAGTGGTTCTCTACTGTGAGCATCGTGAGCACAGGGCGAAAGCTGATCAGTGACTCCCCACTCTGCTTTGGTAGGAAATTCTTCTTTGATCTACCCTTACAAGGGCTGAACCCAAGCCAGAAGTCCCACAAAGCCCAGAAGGAGGAGTGGGCACAGAAAGACCCTCCCCCTCTGAACCTGGAGCGCTAGGTAATGCAGACTTTTAGACCCCCCAAAAGGGCTAGTGGGTTTGGCCACCCTTTGAATCACTTTGCCCTTTCGGTGCCGAGGACAGAGCTGAAACCTCGGAGGAAGGGACGTTGCAGCCATTTGATCAGGAGAAGCCTTTGTCTTAACCTCCAGGTCCCCTCTGCTAGTCCTTGCTAGTCCAGTAGCGCGTGAAGTAATTAATATTCCGAACATTATTCTTCCCTTCACCTTGCCACCAGCCAACACTGCTGCCCTCTCCCTTACCCCTCCAATTGCGGGTCTTCCTCCATTGCTCTTGTCCAATCTTTTTCCAAACAAAAAGGGGGTGGAGGGAGGGAGAGAAAAAGAAAAATGTGATCCAGACTCTCTAGGCAAGAGGAAGTCACTAAAGGCACTGTAGCACAGATGACGTAAAAATCAAGGGTTAAGTGTTCAAACCTGCGCCCGCCTGCGCACAAGAAGTCGGAAGAACTTTCTTAATTAGCATAGTATCTGCCTTGAGGCCGCGCTGCTAGGCGGAGGTTCAGCCCCAGCCTAGGTAAAGCCTCTGTAGTCTGGTCTTAATTGAGGTTGGAGCAGCACGTCTAATCTAAGAGCACCCCTGGATTGCAACTTTGCCGAGCAAGACACTGTAGGATGAAACAGAACAGAGATCAAAAGGTAATCAGAATAGAAGCATTTAATATACTTCTCTTGGGCACTAAATTTGACCAAAATGTTAGCAAGCAAAGGCGGGAATGGCCCTCACCTAGCTTTGCTGTCATTGTTTTCTGCCAAACTAAGACATCAGGTGGGACTGAGTGTCAGTACATCTCTAAGGAGGTTTAGGAGTTTACTAACTGGTCCTGAGGTAAATTTAATTGGTGAGTTTTCCATGCGTGGGAAAAGGGATGTTTCAACTTTGCTTCATATTAGAATCACCTGGGAAAATATGAAACACCTGATGTCTATATCATATCCCAAACCATTTAAATCATATTGTTTGTGTGGATATGGGGTTGAGAACTAGGCATCACTATTTAAACAGAAAAAACCCAAAAATCAGTAGGTGATTACATTGGTAGGGCAGTTTGGGAACCACTGTTGAAAAGGGAGAGTTCAGTGGCTAGCAGTAACAGGTGGTGCAAGATAAGATGCCAGGTTAAGGACTTGAGTGGGTGAGGGAAAGGGCACTGAAACTGGGGTGCAGGTGACTAACACCCTGGGGCACAGGACTGTCATCTGGCAGCCTGGATGGCAGTAACACCTACATCATTTTTCCCTTCTCTGCCTAAAATCTGGTTGTTGGAAAGATCTAAGTTCGCCATCAATGTCTGGTTTCTGCACTGTTGTTAAGGGAGACGTAGAAACTTTCATCCCTGTGCTGACTCATGTGTAGCAGGCTGCAGGGAAACCCAGCAGAAACAAACTTGGAGCAGCCTGGTGAGTCAGCCTGCTGTATTCCAAAGCCAGCCCAGTAAATAGGAAGTTATTACAGCAAGTAGTGTATTGACAGGCACAGACTCCACGCCTTTGAAAGCACATTTTCATATCTGATCAGGATCTGTTTGCTTGTAGAGCCGCTCCCTTTTCCAACACCCCATTCTACCTGCTTCATATAATGAACACTGCTGTTAGAAGGAAAACTCAAGCCAATTAGACATCTTGTAATTTTCTTGGTGGAAGACATAAAAAAAAACAACTGCAGGGAAAATGTAAACTGGTTTGGGATATTTCAGTTTTGTGAAGTAGAGTGAAGGAATTGCAATGCACATGATTTGAATACAAAAAAGTCAAATACTGTTTTTATTTTACATTCAGGGATGAATTAAGGGATATATTTAAATAGAAATGGTTACACCTAACATTTCATATGAAATTTTGTTTTTATCACAGGTTTGTTGGTTTAAAAAAAAGCTATACCCAAAGGATGACTCTAAGATAACTTGCTTAAGATGCAAAGTTTAGTAAATTAATGTGTTCTTCCTATTTTTGTTGCTGTTACTTTCAGTTTCTGTAGCTCTTCCACTCTTCATGACTTTATGTCACTTCGCTTTCTCTACCATTGCCCAAATTCTGTTTTCCATCCTTAGTTTCTTTAAGGGGATGAACAGTGTCTGGCCTATAGAAAGCACTCAGTATTATCAGCATTTGAACTTCATTTGAACCTGTCTTAGAGCACCTATGAAACCCTACTTGGGATTCTATTAGCTCCTTAGTCTTTATGACTGCAGGCCCAGTAATATAGCACACAAGACCATTTGTGTCATAAGTGCTGCTTGTTTGTACTGAAGATTATCACAAGGTGGGGAGAACATTGGAAAAACAAAGTCTCGTAAGTACAATCTGTTTTATTTCTAAGACAGACATTTGGGATATGTAGGAACCCAAGTCTGGTTATAATTCTAAAGTACAACAAAATGATCACTAATTTGTTCACTTATATTTTTGCACAAAGCATTTTGAACAAAATTAAAAATTGTGACATTTAACCATACTCTCATGAATCAAAGATCCGTCTCACAAAAATTTACTTTCTATTCATTATTTTAGAAAAAGTCAATATCTATGTGACTCCCTTAAGGAATTCATTAATTTATGAGTCATTTCAGAATAGATTAATAAACTTTTATTGTCATCTGTCCACTGCTGGTATTTAAAACAGTGCATGTGGGGTTGTGGATATTACAGCTCAGTGATAAAATGCTTGGCCGGTATATGCAAGATTCTGGGTTTAATCCCAACACTGGAAAAACAAAAGATAAAACATGTATATTTCAATAGCCAGATATTGAAAATTGGAAAGTTGGATATGTTTTTTGGCAGATCCACCTTTAATAAATGTTAGTAAGAACTTCCAAATGTCAAAATGATGTGCATGTATCCATTCTCACTTCTGTGTAGCCTACAAAGGGGCCTGGGGTGCGCTTCTGAAATTTTGACTCCTTTTGGGGGAGATGTAAGATATTGAAAGGCTTAAATATAGTGTAGAACAGCAGGACTATTAGGATTAATGCATATTAGTCAGAAATTGCTTACCGGAGGATAGTATGGACCTAGCTCCATAATATTCATAGGTAGCCCAAAGGAGCATCACTTCAAATTTAGAAGCTCTGGTATTTTTGAGAATAGATGAGAACTACCATGCTCATTACCTGAAATTTATAGAAACTTTTGGTCTTATTAACATATCTGGAACTAAACATAGTTGGGTGGATGATATTCCAAGATGCCAAGTAGCACAAATAAATCCAGAAAGCTAAGAGAGCTGCCAAACATGGCCCTGGTATGGCTAGAACAGTGGGTGGCTAACTGCTTTTCCAGTGTCTTTTAGGTTTGCTGTAGTCTTGTCTTGACTAGTGGCTTTGGCTGGACAAAATCACTTCTAATTATCTCCCCCATCCCACCTCGTTAAAAAAAAAAAGAGAGAAAGCCCACATCTGTCATACTCTCCCTGACTTTATCCTTAAATAATTAACCTTCCTACTATACCAACCCCAAACAATCCAAGCCATCTTTAGCTTCTTATCAAAGTAGTAAGTTATTTAAATCTTTCCCCAAGTCACAGAAGCATAAACTTTCTTGTCGTAGGGGCCCTTAGAGGTTATTTCCACCACCCAGTGAAGCTTAAATACCCTGCACATCTTCACTAAGGAGTCCTCTGCTTTATGCTTGAATGTCTCCCTCAAAGCACATTCCAGTCATGGGCCGCTCTCTTTGCACCGTTCACCTGCTGGAGAAACAAAGACTCCCTAATATAATTCACCTGCAGCCATTTGAAATATTTAAAGGGCTAGGGATGCGCTCAGTGGTAGAGTACTTGACTAGCATGCAAGAAGCCCTGAGTTCAATCCCCAACATCATAATGCTACTATTAATTAAGATTCTAGAAAGAATATTTGAAAGAATAACTATGTTGATGGGAACTTGTCTCATTTTTATTGCAAGTATTGCCTGTCATAAAATTTCCTTCAGTTAAGAGAACTTCCTCTTTTGAGTACTTGTTAACTATCACAGAGGGGGAGTTTGCAAATGAGTTTCACTTAGACTAAGAGAGCAACTTTAAGGGTGATCTGGGGGTCCTCATCAACTCTTCCAGAATCAGTCCACTTGCCATTTAGAGACTAAAAGAACAGAGAGGTTCTTTCTTTACTAAGT